AAGAAAGAAAGAAAGAAAGAAAGAAAGAAAGAAAGAAAGAAAGAAAGTCAGGATAAGTAATATCCTGGAGACTACTTGGGGATTTCTATGAAGTTGTTTGCTAAAGTTTATGTCTGTGTTCATATGTGCATTTTTTCCTGGGAAGAAGATTCATAAATCCCCAAAGTGATCCATGGCTTCCCCAGATGACCCTCGAGGGTCCAAAGAATTTAAATAGCCTGACCAAGGTCACTTGGCAAATTAATAGAAGAGATGGCCTTAGAATTACAAGTCTTTTGACCCACAGTCCAGGCATCTTGGTCCTAAATCTGCTTTTACTAGAAAAGTTTAAAAATCAAACATAACAGGGGCACCTGGGTGGCTCAGTCGGTTGAATGTACGACTTCAGCTCAGGTCATGATCTCACACTTTGTGAGTTTGAGCCCCACCTCAGGCTCTGTGCTGACAGTTCAGAGCCTGGAGCCTGCTTTGGATTCTCTGTCTCCCTCTCTTTCTGCCCCTCCCCTGCTCACACTGTATCTCTCTCTCAAAAAATAAATAAACATTAAAAAAAATAATTAAAAAAAAGAAAATCAAACATAATAAAGCACTAGGGAGAAAGGAGGTGGACAGTGGTAAGTTGAAATTTTTTGTAAGATTCCCATGGAACTAAACCAATTTAAGTTACCATTACCATTACCAATGAAGTAATGGTAGGTATTATCTGTTGGAAACTAACTTAATTTTTCAGAATAATAATAAAGCATGAAAACAGAGTCACAGTGTTGGCCTCGTATTTATTGTTTTTAAATTCTCCATTGATCACAAAGAGAAGTCTGTACCTCTAGTACAGACTTCAAATATAAATCAAGGACCTAAGGTTTTGACTTTAAGTAAATAATTGAAAGCTCATTATTTTCCTGGTAGGGATTTATTATTATTAATTATACAATTAATATTTATTAATTGAGGGTACATAATGAGAAGGAAATTACTGGACTCCAACCACTGGACTCTGTGCTCTGTGCTCTGTTTCTATCATCTAGGATTAAGGCTTGGGGTGTAGAAAAAAAAAAAAAAAGGAAGTCGGATAGCCTCTTCCTTCTAGCTCTTGCTCTCCCCTGCCTCTAAGCTCCCCCTGCATCCTCCATCTGTCTAGCATCCTGTTCTTTCCTCCTAAGGTTCTTGCCCTTCTTGATGGGGGAGCCATGAGGAGGAGGGTTGGAGAATGCAGGAAACATAGTTTGCACTTGCTCAGAAGTGAGACACATAATTAAGTCCACCACAGGAAGGGCAACTCGCTCCTCCCACCTCGGTCGGATCCCTCTTTCTCATCCTGGGTGGAGCCTGCCTAGCACAGCCTCTCCAGTGACTGTGGAGTGCCAATGTGCCCAGCATTGTCTGGTCTACGGAGACAATAGACACTGTCATCATTGTTTGGGGCAATGAATCAGTCTTCAGTTTGCAGGAGCAGTTGTATGTAGGTGTCAGGTGGCAAAGGTGTATTTTATGTAATCTAAATATAAGATGTAGCTAACTGAAAGATTCCATCGGTTGCCGAGTCCTATGGATTCGACTTCTGCAGTGTGGCTTCAGTTTACCTTTTCGCCTTGCCTCTCACCTGGATCTCCTGGCCACGTCTAGCTACCCGCTGTGCCTCTTACAGGCAGATGTTTAGCTACAGTCAATCCCCATGGTCTAATTCTCCTTTTAGGCCAGTCCTAATTCCACCTTCTTGAGTCTCAGAGTTGGAAGTTATCTTCAGAAAACCCATGGCTGTCGGTCTGCAAAGATTCCATGATTCGTTATGCGCATTTAATCTTCTCTTCTGGTCAGTTACTTTTCAGGGAGAGCCCTTGTTTGTCTTTGTACCCCACCTCATTTTGTGATTTGTCCTGCTAGGTATACAGTGCTATTTTTATTATTTATTTATCTCTTAAAAAATTTGTTTAATGTTTATTTATATTTGAGAGAGAGAGAGAGAGACAGAAAGAGAGAGAGAGAGAGAGAGAGAGAGAGAGAGAGGCAGAACTTGAGCAGGGGAGGAGCAGAGTGATGTAGACAGAATCTGAAGCAGGCTCCAGGCTCTGAGCTGTGAGCTGTCAGCACAGAGCATGATGTGGGGCTCAAACCCATAAGCAGTGAGATCATGAAACCCATAAGCAGTGAGATCATGACCTGAGCTGAAGTTGGAAGCTTAACCTACTGAGCCACCCAGCCACCCCTATAGTTCTATTTTTTTTTTTTAACGTTTATTTATTTTTGAGACAGAGAGAGACAGAGCATGAACGGGGGAGGGTCAGAGAGAGAGGAAGACACAGAATCTGAAACAGGCTCCAGGCTCTGAGCTGTCAGCACAAAGCCCGACGCGGGGCTCGAACTCACGGACCGCAAGATCATGACCTGAGCTGAAGTCAGACGTTTAACCCACTGAGCCACCCAGGCGCCCCCCTATAGTTCTATTTTTAAACGTATTGGGGGAAAATGCTTGCGTTTCCTTCTGCAGTGTGTGACTGCAGTCTTTAAAACACACCGGTTTTAAAGACTTGATCTTTACTTGGAGTAGACAGAGGGCAGAACTGCCCACACAGTGCAGCACTCCCCAAGTCCACACCAGTAAACTGCTGCTCTTGGTGACTCAGCTAATGGAGTGAAACAGGGAGGGGTGAATCAGGGAAAGCGCCCCGTGATTCAAATGTCACCGGAGCCTTTGATTTTAGTGGGGATGATGCAGTTGTCTGATGTGGGTGTCACCCCTCACTTCATTCAGCTCGCCTCTGGAGGGAGAGAAGAAGAATAAAGATACTTAAAAGGGCACCTGAAAGCCGAGCCACTCATTCACCGAAGGCAGGAGAATCAGTCTGCCCACGGGTACCTGTCCTCACTCGCCAGCCAGCTATATAATGTTGAAACCAGGGCAGACACCCTTCCGCCCCTGCTGTTTCCGAATCTGTGAAGAAAGCGCTCCCAGAAACTGGAATCTATTGTATCCATTGCCAGTGATCTTTGCTAGTATTGGGGTTTCAGGAACAGGCAGAGATACAGATGGAAGAAGGGACTGAAAGAATCGAAAATGGGATTTTGAAGCAGACAGTATGCTTTTTTAATTGTGGTTTTGGAGGACAGGTTGACTTCAGATGTTTAAAATTCACAGGTAATCCAAATACTGGTAAATTCAGACTGTCCTCATGAGATCTGTGTGCGGGACCTCCACACCTAACAGAGTGGGCAGATTTGTACTCTTTGAGCTTTTTGGAGTATGTTTTCCACACTCAGCTCCAGGTGGAAGGGATAAGGTATTCTAAGCTCTCCAGAGTGTGAAAGCAACGGCCTCCAAAGTGAGGCGGGAGGAAACCGACGTCCAGGTGACTGGTGGAGTCTGGAAAGATACGTATGATCACCAGTTAGAACATTTTGAATGGTATTTTGAGTGGCTTGTACACAAGGCATGGCAGAGTTGAGACAGGCCAGGTCAGTTGGGGCCCTCCTGCCAATGGGAGGTTTGGAGTGATATTAATTCATTAAATATTTGTTTATTGTTCTTTCCTGCTAGGCTGTAAACTCCTTAAGGGGGATACAGAGTCACATTCGTTTTTGAGTTTCCATCACCTGGTGAAATGTCTGGCACGTGGTAGAATCAGCAACTTTGTGGAATTGAGCCCAACTGTTCCCCCGCTAGACCAAAAATGCATGGAGAGCTGAAGACCTTTCACTGCAACTTTGCAGTGATGTTGTAGCCTCCAACAGAAGAGTGATTGATGAGAGCCGGTGGATTAACCTAGACAGTTAACTAACTGTAAACTGGAAATGTTTTCCAAAGATAAAAATAGCCCCCTCAGATAAATCCAGTAGAGCTTCCTTTTGAGTGTTCTTTTAATAGAACAGGATATTAGCAACTCTCGAGCTCAGCTCCTGGAAGGCAGAGACTGGAGGGAAGCTGGTGGGCTGGAATGGCTTCTGTATAGGACTCTCTCACTCTGTTGATTACAACCCTTCTACCGTTGAGACCAGGAGAGGTTCTGGGATTGCCCAAGGCCACACAACCAGTCCCAGCTTGTCCCCTCCAGGAGTAATGCGGCTCTTTCCAAGCAGACAAGGAAACAAAATTCACCCAGGCCCTCTGATGAAAGTTCCCAACTGCAGGGGCGCCTGGGTGGCTCAGTTGGTTAAGTGTCCAACTTCGGCTCGGGATGTGATCTTGCGTTTCATGGGTTCGAGCCCCACATTGGGCTCTGTACTGACAGCTCGGAGTCTCGAGCCTGCTTCAGAATCTGTCTCTCCCCTCTCTCTGCCCCTTCCCTGCTCATGCTCGCTCTCTGTCTCTCAAAAATAAATAAACATTAAAAAAATTTTTTTTTTAAGTTCCCAACTGTAAAGGGAAGCATTCTCAATCAGGTGTAACCCGTGACCTCGCTCTCAGGTCACTGCTGGCGGTTGTGCCAGGCTGTGGCCTATCACTACCAGATAGGATAAGAAGGTTTTCCTCATTCAGCTATGTGGACCATCAGAATGTAAAATTACCTGACCAAGTTTAGATCTGTTCTGGTTTAAAGAGAATTCGCTGCCTTTGTTTTTCCTTAGCGAACTAACAACTCACCTGCCCAACTGGGATCTCAGTTTTGCCCTCTTCCCAAGGCCAGTTTGTCTCCAAAGAGACATGCTAATGGCTTAATTGTTTTGTTTATTCTGCGCCTCATAAATTCTGGTAGCTTCTTTTGCATTAAGAGTAGAACTTTTTTTTGAGTGTCTTGGCATTTCCTTTTGTTTTGAATGGCTCTTAACGTTTGCTCCTAAATGTTTTTTTGAAAGGTTGGTTAGCTCTTAGTGATAGGTGTGGCTTTCTCTAAATAGGAGGTTTTTCTGGGTGTGGAATGGAGAAGGTGAAAAGGGAGGGATTTTCGAAAGAAATCCTATGCACTATATCTATATGACAAACAGATCATTTTGGAGCCTGATATTTATGCACTTATGTTCGCTTGGCTCACATACTTGAGTTTTGGGGGTTAAAAGATTAATGCATGCAAAGGAATGTTGATATTTAGCCTGACAAAAACTGTGCATTTACAGAGCTGTGGTTTGCTTTTCAAAATGTAGAAATGTAGAGGTTTACTTCTTCACCTCTGACAAAGAATTTCAAGTATGAGACTCTTCTGGCTCATGTAGTAAATGCATTTTTTATAAGTTTCATGTAAATGACACGTTCTGGATCAAGAAACTTGATAATGCACTAGGAGAATAATTCTCAATGCAGGGTGGAATCTGACTTTGGTGAAGGGAAGACTCTTGCAAGGGAAGGTTGAAGAAGGTTAAATACACTGAGGTTGGTTAAATCGGGTATCCTGGCCCCTTGGAAGAGAAATACTTTCTCTCCTACCAAGTGGAGTTTGGAAACTTCAGAGCTGGGAAATAATGTATTAGATTTTGATGTGCTAAATCACTTGAACAAGTAATGAAACTAATATTATACTATAACTTAACTAACTGGAATTTAAATAAAAAACTTACAAAAATAAATCATTCAGACAAGTACATGATCACGCTATTTTTGGATGTGTCTGTAATTATGCAGGGTTACATGATGATAAAATTTTCAGTGGCTTTTCCAGTTTCTGAAGGTATTCTATCCTTTGCATTCTCAGTCAGTCCGCCTGGAGACCTTAGTTTTTTTGTGGGAGTATGGGTCTATAAATTTAACAGCTTTTCACACCCCCCAAGAGAAGAGAAATCTGCTATTGGAATGAACAATTACTGGGGTGTCTGGGTGGCTAAGCTGGTTAAGTGACTGCCTTTAGCTCAGGTCATGATCTCATGGTTCATGGGTTCAAGCCCCACATCAGGTTCTCTGCTGTCAGCACAGAGCCCTCTTCGGATCCCCTGTCCCACTGTGTCTGTGCCCCTGACCCACTTGCGTGCTCTCTCTCTCTCTCAAAAGTAAATTAAAATAAACTAAAAAAAAAAAAAAAAAAAAAAGAAAGAAAGAATGAGCAGTTACTGAGGACCCACTCCGTATTGTTCTGCTTTTGTACCTCCTTTGAGGTAGGTATTCGTTTTCCGCCTACAGACGAGGAAACAAAATACCATCTGAAAAGTGGCAGAGGATGGATTTAAATTCAGCATCATCTGAATCTGCTGTGGAGAGGAGCTGTCTATTCCTAGACACATGCACATTCAAGTTGTGGGGTCTATGGGCCAGCAGCATGGGCACCAACTGGGCTGTTGAAAGAACTGCAGAACTTCAGGCCCCACCCCAGACCTCCTGATTCTGAGTCTTCATTTAAATGAGACCCCAGGTGAGAAAGCACTAGTGCACAGGAAACCTGTGGTCTAAGCACGGTGACATGACTCGAAACAGGTGTCCAGTGGAAGCCTGGTGTTGTCCTCCAGGATGCCGTCTTACAAGGACAGGGATGCAAACAGTCAATCATCTCTTATCTTGCTGAAGCAGAAGTGACATGGCAATGCTCAGGAGCGGGGTGGATGGAAAGTTTTCTCCATCTGAGGCAGTTCTGGAGTCAGACGCCTGGAATCAGGGGCTGCCTACAGCGTGATTGGAAAGCCCTCCACCCAGAATGACTCCTCCGAGGCTCCTGTCAATGCCGAGCTTTGCCATTACCGGTTGCTCTGAGCTGCTGCATCATTCTTGATAAAATGTTGGTTGGTTAATAACATCTCGCTGTAAACTAATCTATCAAACCTTCTAAAGGTGCCCAAGAACAGATTCTGTCAGGCTGGAGAGAGAGAGAGAGAGATCCAGACTCGGGAATATCAATAGCGAAGAGTCCAGCCTCCAGAACCCTTCCACCCCTGGGGCTACAGAAAGCGTCCTTTGCCTTCTCTTCCTAATTCGTACAGCTAGACTGGAGACATCAGGGGCCTTTTCTGTCCCTCTCCTCCTTTCAGGACTCCTGCTGGTCCCAAACCTTGTGAAGGTGTCCTCCTTTGCTCAGCTGTCATCCTGGTTTGAATCTGCCTTGTCTTACGCTGGGACCATCACAAGGGTTGCCTAAGTGATCTTCCCTGTCTTCCCCCTTTAATTTACAGAAAGAGCAGTGCCAGAATCATTTTCCTGGTCATACGGCTTTACACCTGTCACTCTTACTCAAAAAACTCTCAGCTCTTACAGAAAAGAGGCTAAAGACCAAAATGTGGATCCATCTCAACTCTATTCCAGGCTGCCCCTGTCCAACTTTTATTTTCCAGTAGTCCTTCTGGAATATGTAAACTCCATGGGGCAGCCTGAATGCCTTGTCCCTGCTATTAGCTCCTAGCATAGTGCCTGCACACCATAGGTTTTCAATAAATATTGATTGAACGGATGAATGCACAAGCTGATTCTCATGTTTTATAGTCTGGCTAGAATTCACTCCTTGGTCAGGCTGTTCTTAATGACTGGCCTTCCATTCCCTTTCTTGCCATTTATCAGAATCCTCTGAGGCCCACATAAAGGCTCATTTCCTGGAAACTTTTGATTTAGCTCACTGAGTTCATTTCTTCTTCAAATCGTAACCCTTGTCATGGAGTTATTTGTTTGGTGCTCAATTATACGTAATCTCACATTGCTATCTGTGTGTGAGTCACACTGTATAGATAGACTCTAAACCCCCTGAGGTCAGAAACAATTTGCATTTCTTTATACTTTTCAGAGTTTATCCTCTTTCCCTTTGGCCTTTTCTCATTTTCCTGCCTCCCCTCCTTGTTCCCAGGTCATTGGCCGCTCTTTGACCACACTTGTGTTGGGTATTCCCCTTGGTTGTGGATCAGGCACCCCTCCCCCCTGGAATGTGTGTGGTCCCTGGGGACAGGTACTGCATCACCTGGTTTCTCCCTGTGTGAATGATGGATGCTATAAGCTTTGTCCTTCTGAATTTTCTGTCCCTCCTTTTCGTTCTGCCCAGTTCCTGGAACTCCCTTTTTTCCACTAATACAAATATGATCATAGTGAATAAAAGTCAGTGCCCTTGTGACTCAGTGTATTTTCCAGCTACAGTGTGAAGGTGTCTTAGAAGCCACTGGAGACAGCAGTAGTGGATCTGTTTCACTCTGAGGGGGAGGCAGGAGCCTGCCTGGGGATCAGGAAAGGGGTTTGTTTCCCCTTACGTTACCTGGAACAAAGTAGAACAAATTATTTAGCTCTGTACTTCAATTTCATTTTTTTAAAAAAAGGAAGTAAGAGTGGTTTGCATTCTTTTTTCTAGTAGGTGCTGCATTGAGAATCAATAAGAACATAAAGTGCTTTGAATCCAGTCCTTGTGACATGCACAGCACCATAGCCCTACCCCGGCTGAAGCTCTCTACTACATGCCCCTCCTTTCTGGCTCTTCTGCCTCCCCCCAAATCTGAAGGCGACTGTTCCTAGTACATTAGCATTTTTCTTTTTTCTTTTTTTGTTTATTTATTGATTTCAAGGGAGACAGCAGGAGTGAGGGAAAGGCAGAGAGAGAGAGAGGAAGATGGAGAATCCCAGGCAGGCTCTGCACTAACAGTGTAGAGCCCGATGGGGGGCTCGAACCAAGGAAACCTCGAGATCGTGACCTGAGCTGAAACCAAGAGTTGGATGCCTAACTGACCAAGCCACCCAGGCTCCCCGCATTAGCATTTTTCTAATAAACTTGTGCAGTCTGGCTTACTAAACTTTACGGAAGTTATTGCCAGTCTTTTCTTTGAAAGAGTTTCATGTTACCTGATAAGGAAATACATCAAAATTGGAATCAATTGAGTAAGGTTAGAAATGTTTGAAGACCATTCGCAACCACGTGGATGGAACTAGAGGTTATTGTGCTAAGCGAAATTAGTCAGAGAAAGACAAATATCATATGACTTCACTCATATGAGGACTTTAAGATAAAAAACAGATGAACATAATATAAAAACAGGGAAGAGGACAAAACATAAGAGACTCTTAAATATGGAGAATAACAGAGGGTTACTGGAGGGGTTGTGGGGTGGGATGGGCTAAATGGGTTAGGGGCATTAAGGAATCTACTCCTGAAATCGTTGCACCATATGCCAACTAACTTGGATGTAAATTAAAAAAATAAATAAAAACCCTGACAGGATTTAAAAAAAAAAAAAAAAAAGAAGTGTTTCAAGAAAAGAGACACATCTCTGCTTGACCTGCTCAGCTTCTAATTTTCACATCTTACTAGCTTGGGGAGGGATGAATGGCAGAGAAGAGAAATCACAGGATGAAATGAGTCAGTAATGAATTCATTGAATTTGGGCAGGGTAGCTTGCCTATTTGAAAAATTCTTGGCAAAATTTCTCATCACCCTCCTCCATAATTGGCTGGGTATTTTAAAGAAGACTTATTGCATTTGAATTTTCTGAATAGAGAGAGTTCAGCTCAGCCTTTTGTATATGGTAGGTTGTTCAAAGTGCATTACTGGAAGTGGGGAAAGACACCCTTTTTTTCTTTATTCCTGGGCTGGAGGAGGGAAAGCCTGGTATAGAAGCACCCTAAACTCATGATTATATCCTTTTCATAAACATGACAGAATCTTCTGTTAGAAAATTATAACTGCAAGTAGAAATAATGAAAGAGCCATATATACATACTTAGATGTTCACTTGAGAAGTTATGGTGGAAAATAATTAATTACTAGCCAAAATAAGGTTTCTAATGATCCTTCCCCCCACCCCACCCCGGGTGCCCCCACTCCATGCCCAAGTCTTACCTACACTCAACAAAATCCCATCCCCTGAAGCCTTCTCAGACAGACCCCTTCCACTTCCATGTGTCCATGGCACGTGTTTAAATCGTCTTCCCCTCACACATCATGGTCTACTTGGTGTTAGAATACTCAGGGTTCTGTGTCTCACTAAGATGTGGAACTCTGGAAAGCAGGGGTTGTTTTTGGACATTAGCCAGTGGTCTCCATCTAGTTTAGAAGCACTTGTGGACCTTTTAAAAATGTCAATCCCTGGGGGTGCCTGGGTGGCTCGGTCGGTTAAGTGTTGGGCTCTTGATTTTGGCTCAGGTTGTGATCCCAGGGTTGTGGGATCAAGCTCACATTGGGCTCTGTGCTGAGCATTGAGGCTGCTTGGGACTCTCTCTCTCCCCGCCTCTGCCCTTCTCCCCTGCGCTCCCTCTCTCTCTCTCTCTCTCTCTCTCTCTCTCTCTCTCTCACACACACACACACACACACACACACACACACACACACACACACAGTCAATCCTTGGACTCCATCCTAGACCAGTTGAAATCAGAGTTCCTGGGATGCCCTCAACTGTCTTCTTACCTTTCAAAGTTTACTGGGTGATTCCTAAAACAAGCCAGGGTTGTGATTCAGTGTTAGTAGAAGATATTTAAGTATTGTTGACTCTGCCATAATTTGGTGCAACATCAAATTCAAACCAATTAGGAAATATATTTGCCATGCTGCATCAAACCACTGAACTTACAGGAGATTTTTTTTCTGGCGAGAGAATGGAGAGAAGGGATGGGGAGTATATTTGTTTAATGACTCTGACTTCTGTAGAAGGGAGACTAGTTCGCAGGGGACCTTATAAAAGAGGAACCTCAGTGTGAACAACACTTGGCATGACCCTGGCAGCCTTCTACCTCTTCCCCACTGTGGTCATGTACCCTTGAGCAGAGACCTCCAGAACATGGCAGGGTATCAGGAGAGATGGTTTTCAGTAGGTTTGGGATGAGGTTCAGGCATCTGTTTTTCACAAGGGTTCCAGATGATTCCTGAGAGCTTGAGAACCACTGTTCTATAGGACCATGGAACTGAAAACAATGTGGGTGTTGTATCATAAGCACTGGGTCTTTTTTGGGAGGTGGAGGGGTTGGTTTTTCTTACCCCCAAATTGCACAATCATATATATATTTTCTCTAGAACTTTTGTGTAGTTTTATTTTTTAAGTTTTTGTTTATTTATTTATTTAATAATCTCTGCACCCAACATGGGGCTCGAACTCATGACCCTGAGATCAAGAGTCATGTGCTCCTCCGACTGAGTCAGCCAGGCGCCCCTAGAACTTTTAGTAGTTTTAAAACTTGTAGTTTTAAAGTTTAGTTTCTTACATGATCTGACATTTACTTTTCTGGTGTGAGAGACTATACCCCATAGATCCTTTTCCAAATGGATATTTAAATAATGATTCTGGTTTCTCTTCAGATCGTATAAATCTTCACCTTTAATAAATAATGATTCTAAAAATAATTTATTAAAGAACACATTCTTCATCTTCTGTTCTTTTTTTCCCATTTTTTAATGTTTATTTATTTTTGAGAGAGAGAGAGAGAAAGTGTGCAAGGGAGGGGCAGAGAGAAATGGAGAGAGAGAGAATCCCAAGCAGGCTCTGTGCCGACAGTGACGAGCCTGACCCAGGGCTCAAACTCAGGAACCATGAGCTGAAATCAAGAGTTGGGCACTTAGGCAACTGAACCACCCAGGTGCCCCTGTGTTTTCTTTTCTTGATTAAAAAAAAAAAAAAAAAAAAAAAAAAAAAGCAAGCAATTTCTCTCAAATGTCCTAACGTACTTTGTGTAGGTCCGTTTCTTCATTACTGAAACAGCTTGGACCATCAGGTCCTCATTCTGAAGACTCACGGCGGCCGTGTGGCCCATGACTTGCAGAAGCAAAAGGTGAACCAGATGCTTTGGTAGCAGGACATACCCTGCAGCTGTGCTTCTGAATAGATCCCTGAGAGTGGCCAGATGTTCAGGGACGCATCTCTTCCTAAAGGTCAAGAAAGCACAGTTAAAAGTGAAAAGAAGACAGAAGTGTTTTAGTCGTATTTAGAAGAATGAGGGATTCAGAAGTGGGAGTCAGGCTTTTTGGAATCTCAGTAGGAAAACAAAAGAATGATTCCAGGAATCAAATAATTCTAAGAACTAATTATGTAAAACATTTTGCAAACTATAAAGTGATATTCAAATATATCAGGAAGTACTAACTCCATGTGTTCTAGCTACATTTGAAAGACTTCCAGAAAATAAGCAATGTCATTGCTGAGTAAAACTTGGTCTGTTGACCCTAGGATTCTTGTTGTGGCTTAAAGGAAGTTTTATGGGAAAGCAGAGGAAACTGTAAAATAACACTTTAATTCAGGTACCTGTCTATAGCATGAACAACACCTAGAAAGCCTTCGGGATTCTGGTAATTGGTTGAATGTGCTATCTATTCTAAGTGTGCAGGCTAAATACCTATTCATTCCCCAAGTGAGGACATGGGATAATAATGTTCCATTATTAGCAATTAATTAATGATGTCCTATTCCTGGTACCTCTCTCTTTGCATTTCCCTGTCTTTCCTCAGTCATCTTGTGTCACAGGGAGTACAAAAAGTAGTTGGCCAATTCTGTTTTCTAGCATTAAGATAAAAGCCAAGTTAAAGACAAATGCTTAACCGTTGGGTAATAACAGCTAGTGAATTGAGAGTTTCCTGTACAAAGGGATAAGTAGTCTGGATACCCAAGACATCAAATTACTCTTCTCATTTTCATATTTTCACATTATGTTCTGCCATGTGAAATAAGTAGATGTGAGATTTTTTTGGAATGTTCTAGTGGTTACAGGTTGGAGACGGTTGAGATGCCCTTTCCCTGGTCAGTCGGCTAAGTGGTCATCAGCCCCAACCCTCCTGAGAGCCCGAAGAGACAGTCCAGGTGGGAGTGGGATATGACTTGAGGAGCAGAGTTGGCTCAGTATCTTGTGGAATGATCTTAGCGGGAGGTGGTCTGAAACCACAGAGGAAACAACTCTTTGTGTACAACTTCCCACTTTATACTTTAGCAGACAGTGTGCCTTCATGGACTGATAGCGTAATCCTCTGTGACCAACGGGTCGAAAAAGAAAGTTTGCTGGACACAAACTGGGAGTCAGGAAAGTACTGCTTGCCGAGTAAGGCATTTAGACTCCTCTTTGAAGCAAAAAGAAAGTCTTAACACTGACCTAGTTTAAGGGGTTATTGTTACTTGGGGGGGGGAAAAATCCTGTTCGTGAAAATAGAAATTTGGACAGAAATAAAAGAGGCTACCAAATTCCTAAGTCATCTATTAATTTTTTTTCAAACTTAATTGCATTTTCTTGGCCTCACAGTGCAATTGTTGCTATGGGCCCACTTTAGTTACACCTAGTAGCTGAATCTGCAAATACCACAAAGCTTTACTTCCGTCAGAAGGATTTCATTTGATTAATTTACACTCTTGGGTGACATTTCTTAGTTGTGTAGGAGGGAAAAAACTAGCTTAATTTAACCACATTAGCCACATCATGGATGGGGAAATGTAGGGAGTGTGTAAGTGATTTATTTGCCTTATTACTTAAGTGAAGATGTTTCTGGCTTAGGTTTTTACCTTGTCCTTTAAGAGCTTTACGAGCAAGATATTTTAGGCTATGCTAGTTTGAATGTTCTTTTAACTCCGGCACTGCAGGCTAAGGCTCTAATTTCTGCCAAATGTGAAATAGTGGAACAGAATAAAACCATGTGCTTTACATTATAAAAGTTATATCTGATGGATGTCCATGTTTAGAAAAATCACAATCAAGCTCACCATTTGTAGATATGGATAACAACTCCTTTGCCAAACAAAGTTGGTTTCATCCTAATTGCTTACCTTTATGTGTTTTATTTTCGTATCTGTAGTAAAATAGATTTGGTTATACTTAAAAACCGTTCAGTGGAAATTTGTAGTGTGGAGCCTGGTTTGTTTGAGTCCTGGCTCTTGTAATTTTAGAGCCATATCTTTGATTTGTTCATAATATTCATAGTAATAAATCACCTCCCAGAGTTGTTATAAGGATCAAATCAAATCTAGTTATCTGGAAGTGTGTTGTAAATTATAAATAATTTAATAATTGTAAGGAAGTATTATGTAAACATTGATTTGCTTTAAAACTAGGGGTACCTAGGGGCGCCTGGGTGGCTCGGTCGGTTAAGCGTCCGACTTCGGCTCAGGTCATGATCTCACGGTCTGTGAGTTCGAGCCCCGTGTCGGGCTCTGCTGACCGGTCAGAGCCTGGAGCCTGTTTCTGATTCTGTGTCTCCCTCTCTCTCTGCCCCTCCCCTGTTCGTGCTCTGTCTTTCTCTGCCTCAAAAATAAATAAGCGTTAAAAAAAAAAAACAAAAAAAAAAACAAAACTGGGGGTACCTAGGTGTATGCTGTATGACTTGCTGAAGGTACCAGAGAATTTTCCGGATGGTCCAACATGTGTCCAAAACTCAGGTCCTATTAAAGACACGTATTTTAAAGATAAAAGACATTTGTCACAGCATTCTGAGATCTAGATTTTAAAAGATATAAATTAACATTGAAGGATTTTTTTTTTAATCCAGGAGAAAGTTTCAAGAATTTCTTTCGCTTTAGGTATTGGCTGGGTGTAATTGGGAAGAGGAGTAGCAAATAGGGAGCACCAAGGGACTGGTCCTCTGATATCACCAGAGAGATGCCCACATCATACAACCAGGATCTTATGTGAGAAGGACATCAGAAGCATGTGTGCAAATGGTGCTGCATGTATTTTTTTTTCTTTTTTCCGAGAGAGTGCAAGCGGGGAGGGGGGTGGAGGGGGAGGGAGAATCTTAAGCAGGCTCCATGCTCAGTGTGGAGCCCGATGTGGGGCTCGATCCCATGACCCTGGGACCATGACCTGCATGGAAATCAAGAGTCAGATGCTCAACTGGCTGAGCCACCCAGGCGCCCCCGGCGTATATTCTCAATGACATTTGTAACACCTTCTACGTAAACTAGGGCAATCACAGTTTCAAACGATAAAGGTTCTTTTGCACCATCCTCAAAGGGTGTCATTTGAATTTATTGGGTTTTTTTGTTACCCCATCGTGCCTGCCAAAGTTTATTGGTAAATAAATACTCAGGCTGCTTAGCAGTGGCTGTTCTCTAGGGCGTGGAGTATAATACACTTTAAGTGCAAGTCTGTCCTAGCCTCTAGACTCTGAGTAGCTGGGAAAAACAGGTGCTGGACTTCAGAGAGATCTGGAAGTGAGCCTGGTCCGGCCTCTTGCAGCCCTGATCGTCATGTGGCATGTGCATGGGACAACAGTAAAACGCAGCCCTTGCTGCAGAACCAAGCAGTTTTTTTTTATTATTATTCATATTCAGCACAGATCTGTTGATGCAAAAAACATGCTCTCCTGATGTGGCCACTGAATCATCACTTGCTTCTTTCAAAATCCCCGAAATCTTGTATTCTGATGGTATTTGGCACATCGCATCTCATCCTGCAGCAGCCTATGCTTGCCAGCAAAGTGTCTGAGAGTGGTTTCAAGTAATTTGAACAAACTCTTTGATGATAGTCCACCTTTTAGTACGTACCGAGAATAGTACATATACCCACACAGTTGTGCCAAATCTTGTTCCTTTTTCTTTTTTAAATTTTAACATCAGATTTGTGCTTTGTTTAATAATAAAAGTATAAGGCTAGGAGCTATGTAAGGAATGAGTAGAGATTATTCCTGGTGGGCTCGGGTCCCACGTGAATGCCCTTGTTTTTCTCTTTCACGGTTGGACCCATCATGGTGTGAATATTCTCTTTGATACAGTCTTTAATTGCATTACATTTTTCTTACAAGAGCTACTAAAGACTGTTAACACATTTATTTAAAACTTCCTCAGCCATATTCACAGCAAGGAGGGGTTGGTGGGTGTGTCTTTTGCGAATAAATTCCCTTTGTCTGCCTAGTAATTTCCTTCCAGGTTTCTGAACGTGTAACCCATAAATGACACGTATGGGTGAATGGAGCAAAATGGAGGAGACATTTATGCCAGTCTGAGAAGTTAATAATTTTGATCATCAATGTTAGCGAGTTGGCAAGTTTTTCTCAGATCCCCTACTATTTTTTGACTCTGCCGTCTGAACCCAAAGACCTGGCAGTGTGGCGAGAAGGGGCTGGTGAGCCCAGCCAAGTAATTTCTGGGTAATCATCTTATGGAGACTTCACAGACTTTGGCGAATATTTGGATGGAGTCGGTGGTGGTTTTATTGCTACCATCTGATTCTGCTTTGGGCCTGTAGCAATTTCTGCCACTTTGTCACCAATGGGGGAAAATGCTGTTACTAGAGTGGAAAAAGATGACATTCAGTAGCAGTGTCTTATATTCTGCTCAGAATTTGTCCACAATGGTCCTGTGTTAAAGAGCAAAGCGTCCAGCTGCTGTTGGTTGGGTCAGACACTGATAATTTATCTTAACTTGAAATTATATTGTCCATCCTGAGAATGAGTAAGATGAAATAACAGAAGATAGCAGTGGGGATATGTTGGGGTCCCGATTGCCCCATCTTCCTTTTTGGTCTTCTGGTCTCAGAAGCCTATGGGCCCCAGGGAAGCGAAGCTCTGTCTTGTTCACCACTGTTTTGCCAGGACTTAGTGCAGTGCCTGGCATAGAGTCGGAGCTCAGTTTATTGAATGAATTAATTGGGTGAGTGCATAAAAAACCAAGTAGAACAGGAGTTCCTCGGAGCAGCTGCAAAAATAAGCAATTCCCAGAAACCTTTGAATTTTGCGTGGGGTTTGTTTGTTTGGTGGGTTGGTTGGTTGGTTGGTTGGTTGGTTTACAAAGACCAACAATAGGGAAAATCCACTAGACTCCAGTCTTCATATGGTTATTATTTGTTGATGATGTGGTGGATGGAATGAAGGTGTTCTTTTCCCATCCTTAGCACACACACCTCTTGTGTTGGATCTTGAGTGTCACCATCAACCATCACTTTGTCCCTCAGTTGCTGCTGTTCTCTGCTATTCAGAGCTCATCAATATTGGTGGGCAATTAGATTATTTCCATTTTTGTTAAACACTACTGCTAGTATTCCGTTAAGTAGATTCTGTGCAGCAGGATTGTTGATTCATAGGGTATATGCCTGTGACATTTTGAGAGGAACTCCATTAATTGGCTTCCAGAAAGGATTTGTCTATTTATGTGCTCACTGAGGGCATTAATGAGTGGAGAATTATGAAAATAAGGTAACATTTAAGATTACTGGAGGATGATTTCAAGTAACTGAAAACTAACTGCCTGTAAGCTCGCACAATTTTTGAGAATAAGAAATTCTTTATATTTCTTTTATATCCTGCACCACATAGTAAACTGATTAATGTAATTGATCTTTACTGTCACGAAGTCTCTTACCTTTCATACTCTTCCCCATTACCTGGGCATATTTCCAGGGGTCTCTTAGGGAGAAAAGCTAACCCTTTCCCATGAGGATGTGCTCGTTCCAAAGTTTTATTTAGCTATGTAGTAGAAACTCAAAAGGTATTTATTGAACTCATTCTCCTGGTTCAGCTTTCACCTATACACATTATAGGAATAGAAGAAAAAAAGGAAGAAAAAACAGAGGCTAAAATCAAGGCAGGAAGAGAGTCGATTTAGAAGGAGAAAGTGGGGAATTAGTTTGCTCAGAGGAAGAAAGATATACCAGCAATGGGAAATAGGTCTACTGTGTGTGGTGGGGTATGGGTGGTAGCAGGAAGTCTTGGATTTTTTTTTTTAAACATTTTATTTTTAAGTAATCTTTACACCCAACATAGGGCTTGAACTCACAACCCTGAGATCAAGAGTTGCATGCTCTACTGATTGAGCCAGCCAGGGCCCCCAGTGACAGAAAGGCTTACAATGTATGTAGAACATTGGTAAGTGGATAGGCTATATTAGAAGTAGATTGAAATGAAGCTGGATAGTTACAACAGAAACTTGGAAAGCAAGACACGGAATAGGAATATAGAATTTCAGAATTTAGAAGAAATGTGACATTTCTTAGTAGAATTATACTTAGGTTGTGTTTATTAAGCAACAGCAGCTAGCAAGGTTACTATGCATGCCAGTACAGATAAATAAGACCATCAAGTCTTCATGGAAAGGAAAGAAGAATTTGTCACTCATATGTCTTCCCAGCTCAACTCCTTTTTTGAGGTATAGGGGGTATAGTTGGAGATGGGGCGGGGGAGGAGGGTGCTGTTAGGTTTGTCTACATAATGGGAAGCACCTGATTAAAAAACAATATGGAGCCAGTCTTGACAATCAAATTGGCTGCATCCAAAAGAATGCCAGCAAAGTCAATTCCCAAAATCTCTTCTGTTAAATAGTGACATAAAGGTGACCTAAGTGGTGGGGAAATTTAGTTTATGTGGCTTTAGCATGAGACGGATCGATGACAATTCTCCTGTGGATTTATAGAACTGGGAGTACTATAACTAGAAATACCTGTCACCATAGACTCCTGGTATTATTTGGGGTAATCTATATTATAATGAAGGTGAACATCACTTCTCTAGTGACAACCAAATAATGGAAGCCCTGGATCAGTTGTTCTGGTCTGTGGTCATATTGGAAATAGTGGGTTTGCTTTTGATTTTAGAAGGTAAATGTGTTTGTGAGAGCTGTAGGAAAGCCCAGAACTCACTTCCATTAAAGTGACACTGTAATGCCATCATGCACTTTGTCTCACAAGAGAAGTAACACCAATTAGCAGACCTTGAATACTTAACCCGTGACATTGAGCAGGTGATTTAACTTCTCTGAGAACACAGTTCCTCATCTGCAAAATGGAAATAGTGTCTACTCCCAGTCACAAGGTGGTTTGAGGGCTCAAAATGGTAAAGAAGAGAAAGCTAAAGTACTGCAAAATTGTAGTGTACTTTTTGCTTTTAAATCACTTTGTATACTTACGCGTCAATTTTTATCTAGGGCCTAGATTCAAGACTAAGAAAGAGAGCTCTCAGCCTTCATTTCACTTGAATTAGCCCCACTTTATCTTTACTTTAAAATTAGTCCATTTACTTCCATCTCTTTTGAACATCACCCTAACCTTCAATAATAAAGGAGAACTGCAAGTAGTAAAATCAAACTGTGAAATTATAGAATTGTAAAGCCAGAGCTTCCTACAGGTAAAGAGAAAAGCAGTCTGATTGAAGTCTCTCTTGTCAAGGTGAAAATGACTGACTGCTATGCCTCTAATAGGATTGTGTACATTTTCTAAGAGATGTGCTTCTGTTAATCTATGTAAATTTCAAATTGTGGAAGATACGGTGTACTGATAGTGTGGGACACAAATTTCTTTCCAGCTCAGTATTTTGGGGGGTAGGAGACTGATGTGTCTATATAATTTCCCATGAAGAAACAATCTGGGGCTGAGGTGCCTGGGTTGGCTCAGTCACTGGAGCACCGGACTCTTGATTTTGGCTCAGGTCATGTTCTCACAGTTCGTGGGATTGGGATTGAGCCCTGCGAGTGGTCTCTGTGCTGACAGTGAAGAGACTGCTTGGGATTCTCTCTCCTTCTCTCTCTCTGCCCCACCCCCCTCGTACCCCACCCTCCCCCCCCCCGACCCCACAACTCTGTCTTTCAAAATAAATAAACATTTTTTTTTAAATTTTTTTTTCAACGTTTATTTATTTTTGGGACAGAGAGAGACAAAGCATGAACGGGGGAGGGGCAGAGAGAGAGGGAGACACAGAATCGGAAACAGGCTCCAGGCTCCGAGCCATCAGCCCAGAGCCTGACGCGGGGCTCGAACTCACGGAACGCGAGATCGTGACCTGGCTGAAGTCGGACGCTTAACCGACTGCGCCACCCAGGCGCCCCAAACATTTTTTTTAAAGAAACAATTTGGGGCCGAGGTTGACAATCAAATTGATTGCAATCCATAAAGAGGGATTCTGTCCCATCTTTTTCTTGCCATTTGTATATATTGTTCTACCTCCTCCATCTCATCCTAAAATATGGAGCAATAACTCAGTTCTAAAGTGTCCCTCCTCTGACATCTTGCTGACCTCTTAATTCCACATATCAGTGTGCTTTTTTTTTTTTTTAGTTTATTTATTTTATTTTTGAGAGAGAGACTGCGAGCAAGGGAGCAGCAGAGAGAGAGGGAGACGGAGAATCCCAAGCAGACTTGGCCCTGGCATCACAGAGCCCGTCATGGGCCTTGAACTCACGAAGCGTGAGATCACGACCTGAGCTGAAATCAAGAGTCCAATGCTTAACCGACTGAGCCACCAGGTGCCCGAAGGTTGTCCTTCTTTTCGTTGTTGATTGCAATCTAAAAGAAAAAGGGGTTGTGATTTAAAAGGAGTTGTCACTTCTCCAGATAGTTCAGTCTGTACACAGTGTTTCCACAATATAATGAGCACAACTGTGAACTGTGCAGGGCTGCTCCAATACCTTTAGTGATTTTCCTCAATTTGTTCTTCTGCATCAAGTCAGCAATTTATGTAAAGGGTCATCTGGTAAATATTTTAGTAGACCATATGGTCTCTGTTTAATTCCTTAATGGTGCCATTGTATGTGAATATAGTCACAGAGAATGTGTAAATGAATGGGCATGGCTGTGTTCCAATAAAACTTTACTTATAAAAACAAGCGGTGGGCCAGATTTGGCCCACAGGCCATAGTTTGCTGATGTCTATTCTACATCATTTCCATAAAGACAGGACAGATGCACTTACAATGTTAAATGGAATACATTTAGTTAATTTAGGGATTAATTTGTAAATACCCTAAAGTTGAATCAAAGATCAATTTTTCAGTTTGCTTAGGAATTTGCCTACAGAAGACCGTGTTGTCACAATTTTCCGTTCTTCTTTACACTGTGTACCTATAGATTGGATAAGGCTAAGGCCTGGCAACAACAGGCTTGGGGAATATTTCCTTTTCTCAAGTGTTTACTTTTTCTCAAATAGTTTCTCAAGTATTTACTTTCCTACATACTTAGTCTGCCATTTTTCATATCGCACTGTCATTTTAGATTAATGCCACTGACCTAATGCCAACTCTATACCACTCTTAGAGCTGGAAACTAAGAGAGAGAGCAAGGAAAGACCAGGAGAGGAAACTTACCTTAAATGATCCTTGAAGTCCACATCAGATACCTTGAGAAGCCATTGCTGCTTGATTTTTAAGATCTTCAATTACAGTACTTTGATTTTTAACCTTAAGAAAATTCTCCTTCAACCATTTCAAGCCATGTGGAATATCTATTACTGCTCAGGAATTTACTGTGGTTTTTCATTGATCGCGGCCCCAGACTCTGGAATATGTATTAATTTATTTGGGCAGAGAGTGCAGGAATCCACATGCAGAATAAAGTAAACTTTATGTTGAAGCAGAATATTGAAGCTGGGAATGATTAATTCTTAAAAAATGAACCATCAGCATTAATAAATATTGAATTCTAAGAAGGTTATTTTGCAGTTTGCTTTTTAAAGGACTGAGGTAATCTGACTGACTTCCCATTTAAAAGCGAAGGCTTTTTTTTCCCCCTATGAACAATATTTGTTTAGAGTCATTGGTAAATTATTAATCTGCGTTCCAGTGTTTCATGTTTGAAATACCAGTCCTCCCTGTCCATGGGGGATTTGATCTCGCTGTAATCAGCAGAGGGTTCTGGGAAGTGGGAATGGCTGTGGTTTGCTCTTTGAAAGACTTTAAGAGAGAATCAAAAAGCCGAGGTTATTCAGGAAGCAGCCCTGCCCAGTGTTTGACAGCTGGCAGTTTCCATATGGAGTTATACGGTGCCGTGAACTTGGAAGGAACACTGAATTGTGGGAACGTTTGGGTGGGCTTCCCCCCCCCCGCCCCCGACTTGCAGAGGTCCTAGAGTATCCTTTAAAGTATTCTTGCAGCTCCTTTGAACAGATGTCAAAATCTCTTTCGGTTTGGAGTTACTCCCAAATGTTTATATTCTGAGTCTCTGGTCCATTTTCCTCCCAACGCTGCACATTGAAGGTCACTATTGGGGTATTTAATGAACTGGACTGGTCATATGATTCTAGTGAGTTCTGGCCCTAGTTCCACCCCACTTGCTAGCTCTGGCACATTAGGTAAGTCACTTAACCCCTCTGATTTCTTTACTGAATGGGGGTTATGTTAGTGTATCTATCCAACATAGTGTTGCTTGAGGATTAGGAGGAATAACTCATGGGACCTAGCATGGGATCTCCTCCATGAAAATGCAAGCTCCATGGGGAAGCTGTATTTCCAGTGTCCATAGGAGTGCCTGGCACATAGTAGGAGCTCAATAAAATTTTAATTAACAAGTTAACTCCAAGCACTCAGTAGATATTAGTTATTATTGTCATTATTAATATTATTCCTATATTTATTATTGCTTATGTTACCCTCCCACTCAGGTTTCATTTTGAGTCCCTCTCCTTACCTTCTGCTGGTGACAGTCATCTTTATGAAGCTGTGGTGTCAACAGAGTGCTGCGTTCAAATACTGATCTACCCTGGTTAGCCATGAATCTTTGAGCTAGTTTCCTCATCAGTAATTGGGATAATAGTGCCCGCTCGCAGAGTGTAAGTGGACACAGCATCTTTGCCTTGGTTTTCTCAAGAATATATGGATACAAACAACCCTGGTACCTA